CGCGCAGCGATGACGGATGAGTACCAGGCTCTTGTCAACAACAACACCTTGCAACTCGTCCCGCGTCCCCCCGGTGCCAACATCGTGACGGGAAAATGGCTCTTCCGACACAAGTTCCACGCCGATGGATCTCTTGCCCGCCCACAGGCTCATTTGGTGGTCCGCGGCTTCTCGGGCATGAGGGCATCGACTACGACGAGACCTTCAACTGGTGATCAAACCGGCCACCATTCGGACCGTCCTCAGCATCGCCGCATCTCGCGCCTGGCCGATCCACCAGTTGGACGTGAAGAATGCTTTCCTTCACGGTCATCTCGAGAGATCGTTTCATCGCCAAGAGCCCGAAATGCTTCGTCGACCTGGCGGACGATGATCCGCCTCTGCAAAAGTCCTTTACGGATCGGGCAGTGGCTCGCACCGCTGCCTCCACCTTCGTCCGGCGGCTCGGCTTTGTCGCCTACAAAATCCTCCTTTGTTCTCCAAGAGGGACGGTTTCTTGCTGACGACGACGATCATCGCCTCACCGCCATCCACAGCTCTCCTTCGAGATCACGGCTACAATGAGCTGAAGTTATACGGATCTTGGCAAGCTTCATCACTTCTCGGCAATAAAGTTTTTGACGGCCTATTTTCCACCCTCGGTCAGACAAAAGCAAAATCCTTCAGTTCAGGCGGGCATGGCTGAGTGTCATCCCACGGCGACACACCGTTGACACACTCAGCCAAGCTCTCCTGACATAACGGGAACTCCTATCGAGAAGGACGCCCCGAGTATAGGAGCTCGGGTCGGGCGCTCGAAGATTACACTCGACTCGCCCTGAGCTCTGGCTTATGCCTCCGGTGTGTGTCTCTTCATGCACGCCCCGAGAGCCGCGACCGCGCCGATCAAACGCATCTGCGCTATGTGAAGGCACCTCTCTCTCGGGTCTACATCGGCGCCGGCCCCTGACAAGGCGCACGCACGGCGGAAGGCATCCCGACTCCGACGCTCTACCTCCGGCCATCGTATACCTCGGTGACACTGGTCTCTGGTCCTCCAAACGCCAAACCACAATGTCACGCACGGTAGCGCGGAGTATCGTCGTCTTTGTGGCCCATGTGGTGCCGATGTCATATTGTTGGCTAGCAGCTCCCAGAGCTCCACCTCTGCCTACCCTCGCCATCGTTGTCTTCGTGACAATGTCGGCCATAATCTACATGACGGCCAATCCCCACCACAAGTTTAACGAAGCACATCGAGATCGACATACACTTCGTCTGCATGAGAAGGTGGCCCTTGGTGCGATTCGGGTACTCATGTGCCTCTTTTTTCGCCGACATCATGACTAAAGGGCGACGGCATTGTTTCTAGACTTTCGCATCTTTGCCTGGGAGCCTCAGGATCCGGGTGTTAGGAAATAGAATATCCCCTCGCTAATTATGGATATCATAGCCATAATTAGCGTAAATCGTAATTAGCAGATGTAAATCGGGGATCGGTTGCTATAGTTAGCAAATGTAAATCAGGAGATTACCCCCGCCTTGTAAAGCAAGGCCAGCCGCCATATAATAGAAGCCCCCTCACATTGAGGTGTGGCCAATTGCCCCCAAACTCTATTCTTCTACTGGTTACCCTTCTGGAACCTTAGCAGGATCCATACAACTCAATTTTCAGGTCGATTTTTCAGCACGGTAAGAAAGGGGAAATTTAGGGTTTAGAACAACAACAAAAAAATAGCAGGAAGAAGAAGAAGAAGATGATGATGAGAATACCCACTGCTAGGGAGGCCTGATTGAGTTGAGGCATGACGCTAGGGTGCGTCGCCGAGAGCACAACCGGGAGGCGAGGAGGTAGTTGGGAGCACATCCGGAAAGCCGCGGCTGTTGGGAGAGATGTCGAGCGGTCTTTGTGGAGGTGCGTGGAAGCACTCCTGTCTGACGGCGGCAGGATGCCTTGGCGCTTGTTTTTCTCCACGAAATCGAAGACCGCAAGCGGCATTGAACTAAGAAGATGCGCGTTCTTTCTTTTCCAAGGGCAAAATCGGAACATGGTAAAAAATGAACTAGTCAAACCAACGTGCAAAGTAACGGAACAGTAACAAATGGTATATAGCTGTAATGTTGTAACCTTTTGATGTTAGATATCTAAAATTGAATCTTTTAATGGTATATATCTAAAGATGCGTTCTTTTGATGGTAAGGATCCAATTTTCCCGTTTTGCATATGCACGAAGAGGACGAAATTGGTTGAGTGGTTACCAAAAACCAAACACTTTCCAGCATAATATGCATGCAAAGGACGACGAATTGGTTACCAGTTACCAACACTTTCCAGCATATGCAAGCAAAGGACGAAATTGATTACCAAACCAACAGTTTCCAGTCCCAGCGGTAGGAACAGACCGTCACCAGCCAAAGATAATCCGTTCCCTCACACAGGCACAAACGCTGAGCCTGCTCTCCGCAGTCTAGTAAGTCCTCTTGTTGATCCCTCCTGCAAAAAAAACTCGAAAACTGCTTTGTTGTTAGTGCTATTTCTCCTCATCTTAGTTTGATGGATCTGTGTCGATTTATTGAAAGATGCAGACTTCCATTTCAGTTCATCACACTGTGGAGTTTGTTTTGATTTATAGCTTAGCACTGATATTTCGTTTTATCTTATATATTGTTTTGATCTTCTCACATGTTTCCTCAGTTTGCCTCAGTGCAGTTCATGAATTGCCTTCATCCTTTGCTCGTGTTGTTTTTGCCCCCTTCTTGACAGATATATGCCAACCACTAAACAATTTTTTTTTCTGACCTTCTGAATTTCCCCCAAATTTGGGCAGGGTGATGGCGTTGATCACGAATGTCTCTGACTATGAGGAGCTTGCAAGGCAGAAGCTGCCTAAAATGGTTTATGACTTCTATGCCGGGGGTGCAGAAGACCAGTGGACACTCAAGGAGAATAAGGAGGCGTTCTCCAAGATTTTGTAAGCTATCTTCCAGATTGTTAGGTCTTAGCTGTGTTTATAAGCTCAACTGGATGACCTACATCACTTCATCCACTTGTGAACTTTTTGGATTTTGTTTTAGGTTTTCAAAAGACGTTTTGTAGCCTTAACATATGAGTTCTGAACTGTAGACTAAAATGCAAAGGAATTGACAAATATTGTTGCCTAGTTGGAAGAACCACAAGCATGCAAGTTTATCTTTAGTGAATACAAACATGTTCTCCTATGCTTATTTCTTTTGCAGAAAATATATGAGTCGTGAAATGTCGCTTACATTTGTTTATCTTCTTTATTCAGTACAATCCAATTGAATTGTTCAAGTTTTGCTCTTTTGTGTTTGATCCAAATTAGAATCCAGAAAAGAAAAGAGATATTGAGAACCTCATTGTGTCCATCTAATGAACGGTATTAGGTTTCGACCACGGGTGCTGATTGATGTGTCTCATATTGACATGTCTACGAGTATACTGGGTTACAAAATTTCCATGCCTATTATGGTGGCTCCCACTGCTTTGCACAAACTGGCCCACCAAGAAGGTTCTATCTTGTTATAATTCACCTTTTTTCCTCTTTTGGCAACATTAAAAGGAAAGTTTTTTTACGGAGGTTCATCTGAAATGCAGGAGAGGTTGCTTCTGCCCAGGCAACAGCTGCTGCAGGAACTATAATGGCTTGCAAGATTGCACCTTTTTATTGGCTAAGTGATGACTCACATATTAATTCCTTAACTGGTTACATTTTTCAGACATTGTCTTCATGGTCATCTTGCAGCATCGAGGAAGTTAACTCAAGTGCACCAGGACTTCGTTTCTTCCAACTTTCAGTATGAAGTTCATACTCATCATTACATTTTTACCTTTTTCCCTGCTTGATTTGATCTTTCCCCTGTTTACTGTCATTGCCACATTTAGGTATTCAAGGACAGGGATATTGTGCAACAACTTGTCAGAAGGGCAGAAAATGCTGGCTATAAGGCAATTGCCATCACTGTCGATGCTCCACGGCTTGGTCGCAGGGAAGCTGATGTCAGGAACAGGTATGCATCTTGAATATATACAATGTAGTTTCAGCAGGAGTTCTGTATTTGAGCAGTACATACTTTACAACAAATTATGTATTGTTCTATGTGTCACTAGATTCACGCTGCCTGAAAATGTGGCATTGAAGTGCTTTGAAGGACTGGATCTCAGCAAAATGGACAAGGTTTTCTGAAAAAGAGCTGGTCTAATTGCATGGGGGTTCAAATTGAGATGAATATATTTCATTTCTTTTTTATTTTATTTTCATAACAGCTGTTTTGTGATATTGATATTTCAGACTAATGCTTCTGGCCTTGCTGCATATGTCACTAGTCAGATTAACAGCTCTCTTTCTTGGAAGGTAGGATTTGCAACATGCTAATCAGCTAATGTTAGTTGCTATGAATGACTTCAACCATCAGATGACAGTATCTCATGCATAAACCTCAGTGAAAATGAACTATCAACATAGTGTAATGCAGGATATCAAGTGGCTACAGATGATTACCTGGTTGTCTATCTTAGTGAAAGGAGTCATAACAGCAGAAGATGGTAAGTATTTGGTTTCAGTTATTTTAAATGCTACGCCACTCAACCTGATCTATGATCCCATAAAACATTTGCAAATTTGCAGCTCGACTTGCTATTGAATGTGGTGTTGCTGGCATTATTATGTCCAACCACGGGGCCGCCAGCTAGACTATCTTCCTGCAACCATCAGCTGCCTTGAAGAGGTATGCAAATCAATCACAGCTGCCTAGGATATCTCTGGTTCATGGCTTTATGCTAACTTGCCTTGGCAACGAAAATTTCAGGTTGTAAGAGAAGCAAAGGGCCGTGTGCCTGTGTTCCTTGACAGCGGCATCCGCCGTGGCACTGACGTGTTCAAGGCCTTGGCACTGGGAGCCTCAGGAGTATTTGTAAGTCCTTTGCTGGATTAATCTTACTTCAATGCAGGAAGATTTCTTGACATGTACTGCATCATGCATTCATGCTTGTCCTCTGTCAGATTGGAAGGCCTGTACTGTTCGCCCTTGCTGTGGACGGCAAGGCTGGGGTGAGGAATGCACTGCGAATGCTGAGGGATGAGCTCGAGATCACCATGGCGCTGAGCGGCTGTACGTCGCTGAAAGATATCACCCGCGATCGCGTTATCACTGAGAGCGACATGATCCGTCGATGTAGGCTTTGATTCGTTTGCTGTTGTGCAGCACTGAAAGTCTGTTGCCCATTGCCCTGGCATGACTGTCTTGGCCCATCGGATTGGTTTTGACCTCTTGGCCCATGTGCTACTAGGTTCATTTGGGCTTTTTCTCATTTCTCTGCGTCTACCATTCAGATTGTTAGCCCATCAAGCCTTGAGGGCTTACAATTTCAAAGGCTGGCCCAAATGAAGCCATGACATTGATATGCCGGTCACTCTATGACTTCATTATTTTCAGCCTACTTTTGCTCACCTGTGCTTGATAATATATGCTTCAATAAGTCACAAAATTGCATATCAAACAGGTTTCACTTGAGTTTCGACACCGGCCAAATGACTGATATAGGGCGGAGTGGCTAATATTAACTAGTATTGGCCTGTATAGATGCTGGGACGGGACGGAACTACTTATGTACCAAAGTGGATCTAGTCAACAGTATGAGATATATCGGACATTTTGGTTGATACTGGAATCGAATTAATTTTCTCGAGTGGCCCTTGAACCTTGTTCACCGACGACAAAAATATTTGAGACACAAAAAGTTATAGTTTCTGAATAATGCATCCAAATGAAATTATGATTGCACCATTATATTTCTTACGATGAAATATTAAAAACAGGACCCCCACTTGACGCATTTGGATGATATTTTCTTAGAGAATATTTTCTAATAATGTTGAAATATTTTTTTGATTGAGCTGAACAATGTCCTTGGTTTACAAGCCTTACGGAAAAATTAGTACAATATTTAGGACAAAAATGTTGCAAGTTCAGATTCAAGAGAAAAATGTTTCAAGTTCATTAGAAAAAAAAGATCCACCTTCATAAAATTAAAAATATCCCCTTTGCTAATTTGCAATGTTCCAATAAATATTATCATCACGGTTTCAACAATTTTAAACCAAAAAATATTCAGCCATCCATTTGTTCCATAAAAAGAGTAAATACAAATTATTCCTATAATAATAAAACTAAAAAAACAAGAAAGAAATAAGAAAAAACTTTAAAGAATTGTTTGAAACAATGAACGGGCCCATATATGAAGGAGAAGAAGGCCCGTCCGGTTGCGCTTCCCTCGGCCGAACAGCCCCCCGACTGGGCTATATTCGTTCTCCCGGCGTGCTCCGTCTCTCCTATCTCAGCGCGACGACTACGCTACCGCCGACGCCGACGCCGACGCCGCCGCCGCCGTCGCCGCCCTACGGCCCAGATCTTCGTCGGCCTCTTCTCCGGCAACGAGCACCCGAAGATGGTACGCCCGCCCCTTCTCTTCTCTACCTGCTGTGCGAAATCGAGCAGCACCAAAGCCTAACCTAAGCTATTTGGCAATTTGTAATCGGACCTGATCTAATCGCAAGCGCATACATGAATTATGCCTACTAACTTCGATTGTTTTGCGAAAACGTTATCGGGCGTAGATGCGTACACCCATATCCTTTGTTGGGTCCGCCCCCTGATCTGTGTGGCTTTGTTCAGGTGGTCCTGCAACCAGATCGGTTCCTAAGCGAGCTGACGAGCATGTACGAGCGGAGCACGGAGAAGGGATCCGTGTGGGTCACCATGAAGCGATGTGAGTGATCTCTCTGTTGCGTGTTGATTTGCAGATTGGAGCGGCTGACGAGTTGAGGTCTGACCTGATGCGGCGTTGTTGTTTTTTTTTGGGGCAGCGACTCTCAAGAGCAAGGCACAGTTGCAGAAGATGGAGAAGAAGGGGCAGGAGGTAGAGCACCGGTGCCTCATCCGTGCCTCTGATGGCAAGAAGAGCATCTCAACCTCGGTACTGTGACTATCCTTGTGCAGCTGCTGGGATTAGTTTTGGATAAGATTGCTGGTTTTGTGCATACTTTGTACTGGTGATTGGTCAGCAGTTTGCTAGCAAATCCATTGCTAATTATGTCCATGCAGTTGCTATGAGTATGAATTTAGGATCAGACATTTTCGTATGTATTTGCCTATATGCTAAATCATCATGGTCACTGATTATGGACTCATAGTGGTAGGGTGTGCCATTTTGTGTTCTCTCATAGGGAATGTATATGGATGTAGAAAAAGTTGATGGAAACCCTACAAGCTTAGTAAATCAAAACAGTGTCCTCAATATCTAGAAATCATGTGACGACTAGTGGAGTGAGTCAGGGCCATGGCCACATGGGGTAGAGCATATAGCTTTGGCAGTATGTGGAGCTTCTCTTCTGTAGCATTCTAGCATGATGGAAAGTAGAGAGAAACTTTAGAAATCAGCTTCTTAGAACTGGAATCCATAGGATATCATTGCTAATAATATATATCATTTATACATTTGTGTTTTCTGAGTTGTACTTTCTTAACAATGAAATAGCATAAAGATTGTTTGGTTTCTATTGTTGTAATTCTTGCAAACTTTGGTGCATGACATGAGCAAGCAATATGCTTAACATTCAGCTAGTTTGTTGATCTAAAGGAAATGTTTATGGTTACCACATATACTTAACAGTTGTATCTGTTGTTAGTTCCTAGGTTTGTGAATCCCTTTCTAAGTATTGCATCCTTTCATGCCCTCACCAAGTCTTTCTTTCATCAAGTGTGGATTACTTGAGATATCTCACTTATAAGCATCAAATGTGTAAAGAATGACAGTCATTTACTTGTGCTGTTTAATTTGTGTAATTGCATTTAACAGTGATGATGCTCATTGGTTTCTACATTTTAGCTGTTGGTGAAATCCTTTATCAAGGTTATATGTTAATTTTTCACCTCAAAACAGTGAGGCATGCAGCCTTTTTTATGTTTGTATAATAATATTCCTATAAACAGTCAGTTTAGACACCTTTCCAGTTGTTACATGGACAGGCATGACATGTTTAGAGTTCCTATTCCCCTTCTTAAATAAGTAATTTCCTTGAACTTGTATTTAATGATGTGATGTGATGATTTAAACTATTCCATATCTAAGGATAAAAATATTGGTACTTGGATCCAGAATATTTGTGAACACCATGTTCACATAAAGGCGTAATCACAAGCAATATTAGTAACTTTGCATTTTCTTCATCATGGAACTGTGACTTGACTGCAAGGTAAATTGTATTGTGGTAACACAGATTAAGTATGTGATTAGTTTTGTTCTATATTGTGCACATTACTTGTCCTTGTATCAAATTTGTGCACATCCAATTAAGGCATCTTCTTGACCAAATGCTTCACTAGAGATTGATAAGCCTGCTAGTGTTATATTTACCTAGATGTTGACATTGGTATTTTCCATGCAATGTCTTCCAAGGTGCGTACACTCATTTGCAACTTCTTTTGTTGTCGTCGTGATGGTTAATTCATGAGAAATTCATGTATCCTTCCTGCTCCGTAAACACTATCCCAACTTGTTGGAACTCTATGTTTACTCTCAGGTCATTTGCATGGTTCGTGGAATGAGTTCACAAAATTTACTGTAATTAAACTTCTGATGTCCTCCAGGTCTCTCTAAAGGAGTACGCAAAGTTCCAAGCTTCATACGCAACAGTTCTTAAGGCCCATATGCACGCTCTGAAGAAAAGGGAGAGGAAAGACAAGAAGAAGGCTGCAGATTCTGAGAAGGCAATCGAGACCGCACCCAAGAAGCAGAAGAAAGCATCTTCAAAGAAATCTTCGGGGTCCAAGTCATAAGACACTCGCAGAACTCACTGTGTGTCTACCGCCAGACTAATCAGAGTGTCTAGAAGTTTTCTTATCTGGTTTTTATCCGAATTCGTGTCTGGGAGATGAAAGCCTGTGAATACACCTATATAGAGCCATGCCATCGATACTAACATTTTTGAAGCAGAGTTTTGAGGTGAATGTGAGGCGCTGTGGTGTCCTGATTGACATTAACGGAGACATGAGTTCTGAACTTTTAGTGCTGTTTGGTTGCATAAAGGTAAAGGCCTTTTGAACTTTTAGTGCTGTTTGGTAGAGAATATCTTCGTCGCTGGAATGGGAAGGGAATCGATGATTACATGTTGTGTTTGGTTCACCCGTGGTAACAGGGTGGATGTGAGTGCAAATGCACAATTGGTTGCTGCTCAAATCGGGCGTAATCTACTTACTGAAGCATGGGATTGATTATCCTATGCATGTTGGATCCTATCGATGGTTAAGCAAATCCCATTGATGGTGAAGCAAACAGAAAATGGTATATGCTTCACCATTAGTTCACTGTGTGATTGGATAACGTCGAAAAATGCTTGAATCAAATAACATCTTAGGACCTTATAATATTTAAGCCGTGCGTCGGTAATACTCTCTTCATTCCAAATAAATTGTAAGTCGCTTTATCTTTTTTTGAGTATAATATATCTAGATACATGCAATTTAGAATGGAGGGAGTAACATTTTTGAAGCAGAGTTTTCAGGTGAACGTGAGCCGTTGTGTTTTCTTGACTGGCATCAACAAAAAAGACGAAAGATCCGATTATCGAATTCTGGTGCAGTTTCAATGTCTCATTGGTACTGACAATTCGGTATGGGGTATTATTTCGAGTTTGCAGTTAGGGTTGTGCTGCAGAATCACTTTTGCTCTGATGTCCGTATCTAGAGATACTAGTGTGTATCTAAGTGTATATAGAAAAAAACCTTATACTTAGAAAAGTCAAAACGTCTTATAATTTAGAATAAATGGTGTATAAGGCTATGCTTATCTATTGCTTTTCTGCTTACCATTAACTGTCTGGAAAATGTTATGTCGCGATTGAGATTCCCACACAATCCCATATGGTAGTGGTCATCAGAATATAATTTCTATAGTTTCAGGATGGGTCGGTCGGTGCATAAACTAACCAGGACATATGGCTTCTTGCCGACCCTGACATCCCTCAGTTTATCCCTATCTGCAAACGTATGAGCCTGTGGCTTCCTTTCCTGGTCTCTTTCAGTCGTTGTGCCACCAGCCCACCATCTCTCAAGTAGTCAAGTGTCTGAACTCTCAAGTTCTCGACAAGAAATGCATAGCAACGAAAACTTCGTGTACACTACATGCATTGTTTTTGCAAACAGCGTTTTTCCAGCGCAGAAAGAGTCCATGGGCATCTTTGAATGGGCTAGATTCGCCTGAATACGATGATATCATAATTGGTCTTCCATTAAACATTCTTATGTGCTGCCAAATCAGCAATGCTGTTCTGAAGAATCTTTGATTTGTTTTATTTACAGGCCCACAGCTCAACTGAACCGCTGCAATCTTTTTATCCCGATCCGAACCCCAAAGCGTGGATGGAAACAAAACCCTGCAGTTCTGCACCGGGTGGGTGAGGTTTGGTGAGTCGAGGAGCCGTCACGATCCACCACCAAACCGGACAAAAGACGTGCAGTTCTGATCACTGATCACTCACTGATCCGTCATCACCACCAAACCTGCTGCTGCCTTTTGCTACGAGCGCGCGCACCACCAGTCCACCACCCACCACACCCAATCCCGATCTCACCGAACCCCGCGCCACCTGCCTGCCGTGCCGGGGCTCGCCACGATGAGGGGCCTCCTCGCGTGCGCCGCCCTCGCCCGCCGCGCCGCCTCCGCCGCGCCCGCGCGCGTCCGCCACCTGGCGGGCGCGGCGGAGGCGGCGGAGGCCGAGCTGAAGAAGACGGCGCTGTACGACTTCCACGTCGCCCACGGCGGCAAGATGGTGCCGTTCGCCGGCTGGAGCATGCCCATCCAGTACAGGGACTCCATCATGGACTCCACCGTCAACTGCCGCGCCAACGGGGGCCTCTTCGACGTCGCCCACATGTGCGGCCTCAGTCTCAGGGGCCGCGACGCCATCCCGTTCCTCGAGTCCCTCGTCATCGCCGACGTCGCGGCGCTCAGGGACGGCACCGGCACGCTCACCGTCTTCACCAACGAGAAGGGCGGCGCCATCGACGATTCCGTCGTCACCAAGGTCACTGACCAGCACATCTACCTCGTCGTCAACGCCGGGTGCAGGGACAAGGACCTCGCCCACATCGAGGCGCACATGGAGGCGTTCAACAAGAAGGGCGGAGACGTCAAGTGGCACATCCACGACGAGCGATCGCTGCTCGCATTGCAGGTCACTGCCGTTTCTTCCCCTCTTCATGCTCTGATTCAGTTGATGACTGCGATGGGTAAATATTATATTACATTCCTGAACGGTATATGTGCTTATTTATAGGATTATTTTGGGGAATGGAGTTTTTAGGATATGGAGATATGCTGACGATAGAATGACGACAGGCCAAGTGATTCTTGTCGTTTGAAGGGAAAAAAAAGATGTGATTGATTTCAAATGTGCAGCAGGATCACTAGATAGATGGAGAGGCTTGTTTGATACATTGCAGTTCTAATCTAGTATATCAATGACTGCAATTGGAATTTATAACTGAATGTAGAATGTTCCCGAAAAAATGATTTTCTGCTTTGTGTTTCAGCTGTGGCATATATAGGATTTTTCTTTCCAGTATGTACCCAGTGATGTGATGCTATGGACTATGAGTGCTAGGATGATGAATAGTGTTTGCAGTTTGTATGGGAATTCTGTGATAGTCTGTGGTGTCTGAATTTTCTGTCAATATTAAGTGTGATGACTCTTTTTAGCAAGACTGTTGTGTTTGGTCACTAGCCTACCTAATCTGTGGCATGACAGTAGTTCAATACGAAGATCAAAAGTGAAGTTTCATCTTATTTGTTTGAGAGGAAGTGAAGTTTGATCTTGATGTTATATTGATGGTAAAACACTGAATTTTGTGATGTTACGAATCTGGTGGGCTTCTTTACAATTGTTAACGATGATTTTCAGGTTGGTGAATCATAAGAGGGGCATCAATGCTATTTAGTTGTATCCACTAATTGTCTTATTTTTTTTTGAAATAAATATCCACTGATTGTTTTAGGTATCAGGCAATGGTGCTTGCTTGCTAGTAGCTAAATCAAATCTTGATTACTTTAGAATGCCTTCTGGGCTTCACTTGATTGGTTTATGTTAGATAGCAGTTGAGCAAGTCTGGCTGTCCTTTTCTTGGTTGGTGGAAGTAAAGCTTCCTCCATGGTCTTGCTTTTGTGGTTAAGAAATGCCTGGTGTTGATTGTCAAAAAATTCAATTCCAATGTCCTATGAAATTGTTAATGCAACACTTGGAACCTGGTTCCTGGTAAACCGTTTTTTCAACCTAACTCATGGTTCAAAAATCTTCATGGGGTAGGTAGCTAATTGTTCACACTGCTAATCATGGACAGAATCAATCTGCATGATTGGTATATGTTTTTCATGTCTAATTGCTTTGGAAGAAGGGCAGGCCTGGTGCAGTGGTGAGAGCTGTCTCACTGAGTCACCAGGTCATGGGTTCGAAGCAGCCTCTCCGCAGATTTTGCGGGGGGAAGGCTTGCCTCGGTTTTTCCCTTCCCCAGACCCCACTCGTGTGGGAGCCTCCGGCACTGGGTTTGCCTTTTTTTTATTGCTTTGGAAGCAGTGAAGCACCAATGCAGTCTTCCAAATCTGTACTCTCCCTAAGCATACTTAATATCATCTCACAGAAGCGTTCAACTTTCACTTTAATGGCAAGTAGAAAGTTCATTTCTCGAGTCCTGTTGTGTACCAGTTTCCGAGTTCATAAAAAGGCTGCATAACTTGTTCCTTGACATAAGCAGGGTCCTCTTGCTGCACCAACTCTCCAGTTGCTGACGAAAGATGATTTGAGCAAAATGTACTTCAGTGACTTCAAGCTGATTGACATCAATGGATATTCATGCTTTCTCACGAGAACTGGGTATTACTTTGATTCCTTACTGCCATTATTTTAAAACCCCACACCACATATGATTCTTATCCTTTCAACTAGACAAAAAAAAAACCCGTAGACTTATCAAAAAAAAAAAAACTAGACAAAAACCTTAACAACCTCAGTACTATCTTCCTCGCATAGATACATTGCTCTTCCATAATACCTAAAGAAATCTGTATCGTTTCCTATTTATTCCAGCATGCCAAAGTGACATACTTTCGTAGCAATTGCTCAACCAACTGTAGGACAGTAGATCGAATACAATACTATCTTTTATTAACTTTTGTCTTTTGACTATTGTTCAGTGTAGGATTTTACATCCACTATTATGTGAATTCCACAATTTATTGGCATAGCTGTTCCTTTTCATCTTTCCAACATCCGTAGTTTGTATCTTTTGGATGATTGACGAGTTGATTTAATCTTTCCTATATTTGTTTCAGAAGAATTGAACATAGTCTCAGTATTGTAAGGATGCCTTATTTCTAATTTCAGTTACACCGGCGAAGATGGTTTCGAAATCTCTGTTCCGTCAGAGAATGCAGTTGATCTTGCAAAGGCCATCCTGGAGAAATCCGAAGGCAAGGTGCGGTTGACTGGCTTGGGCGCCCGTGACAGTCTCCGACTGGAGGCAGGCCTCTGCTTGTACGGCAACGACATGGAGCAACACATCACGCCAGTTGAAGCCGGCCTCTCATGGGCAATCGGCAAGAGGAGGAAAGCGGAAGGCGGTTTCCTGGGTGCAGATGTGATCCTGAAGCAGCTTCAGGAAGGCCCAAAGATCAGGCGTGTCGGCATGATCACACAAGGGCCGCCTGCGCGGAGCCACAGCGAGCTCGTGAGCAGCTCGGGGGAGAGCATCGGCGAGGTGACCAGCGGAGGGTTCAGCCCATGCCTGAAGAAGAACATCGCTATGGGCTACGTGAAATCAGGAATGCACAAGGCTGGGACAGAATTCAAGGTGGTTGTTCGTGGGAAGTCCTACGACGCTGTGGTCACCAAGATGCCGTTCGTGCCCACCAAGTACTACAAGCCCTCGTAGATTGTACAAATGGGACGCTCAGTTTTCTACTGCAGTTCTCTTGTTGCGGCTTGTCCTTGACAGGTTGCTTAAGCCTGCAGCTGTAACTTGACATTTTATCTATGCCTGCCTAATAATGCCTTCTTTCCCAAAAACAAAGCATGTGCCTGTGTGAAGAATTGAATCTTGCTGGGTGAGTGGGTGTTGCATTCTCCTCCTCCGATTATAGTTGTTGGTTGGATCACGGGCTGGAAAGTCCAGTTGGGCCACAATATTACGACCCAAGTGGAACTTGCCACTACAAGCTCTCTGCTCGCCCTGAAGGCCTGAACCACGGCACCCACCTGTAGAGCTAGCCTTGAACCAGTTACTGAGGCCCTGATCCGATCCTCGCTTCCCTGCCAACTTATGCTTTGTGTCTGCCTGTCTGGCACGCACCTCGTCTGTATCTTGACTTGGGCCATGTTTAGTTGGGTACCGATTTGGCGCCGGCAGATTTCGTGACACTGTAGCGCGCACTGTAGCGTTTTGTTTTTATTTGTAATAATCCAATCGCGACTAACGAATCTCGCAAAAGTACAACTGAGCGCAATTAGTTTTGATTTCATCAACATGCATGTGCATGCAGTTTGATGTGTGACGGGGAATCTTCTTTTTGTATAGTGCCAAATTCTGGAATTTGTGGTATCTAAACATGGCCTTGTAATTTCCAAACGCCGCATGCAGTTTATCTGAATGCGAACGAAATCTTGCAGCGCTGCCACATGCATGTACTTGCAGGTTGTGCAGCTTTGGATCCTATCAGTCAGTAGTCCTACTCATTCCTAAACCCCTGACCCCTGATCCCTGAACTCGTTGCCTCATGCATGCCAGCCAAAGGAGCCTGATTACCTTCGATCTTCATGGATCGGATACTAACCGAACAAACCTTATTAAAAGAAGAAAAAAAAAAGAAAAAGCCTGATAACCTGGCCTGCTTTGGTTCTGCGAAGATTGCTCTGACCTCGCCTCGTCTCACCAGGCTCGAACAACGAGACGCTTGCCCGAGCACTCAGCCAGCAATGAAAAGGCTTGCCAGCACAAAAATTGAGATCAGCTAGCTGGACATCCAAACGCCTTGCCTACTCTGGTTCCTAGCTCGGCAAGGCAGCATAGCTCTCGGCAAAGAAACCAAGCAGAGTTGCGACGCATATGGCTAATGGCTCGGAGAAAAACATACGAAATTACTAGTAGTAGCGCGGCAGTTTCCCGCGGCCAACAGTTGTTGGCTACTGCCGTTCAACGACCTTACCACCAGCATTGCATCATCTTCTGCCAGGACTGAAACGTCTCAAATGTCACCGTACCACCTACTGTGATTTCACAAGTTAGGGCCGGGGCCCGGGGGGCAGCTCAGATGTCTCGCTCTTCTGCAAGTCCTCCTGGCTATTCTCGGAGAAATTAAAGAGTGTCGAATATTTGTAGCACAGTACTACGTACGGAGTATATTCTACCTGCACCTACCTATTTATATAGCACAATATATATAATGCTCATTTCATTCGTAAAATAAATAATAGAAATTGGCACTAGTCTCGTACATTCCTAGCTATTCGTTCAAAAATCATATAGGACCATGCAGGCATTAACAAACTAATGTGTTTTTCAAAGAGATTGCATATGCATGCCGATACGCAATCAGAATCTGCATGCAAGCCGCTCTACTCTACGTCCATGAAGGGCCTGGCTATATAGCAGTACTTAGGTGACCGGGCACTCATGACGACCACATCTTCGTCGGTTCCCAAAACAGCAGAGCTAGCTGAGGCACGTCACGCAATGCAATGTGGAAGTACACTATGACATACGAAATTTTATCACCGAGATATATACACAATATAATGCAGAGTTCCTCACTTCCTCAAACCCCCCCCCAAAAAAAAAAAAAAAACCAATGCAGAGATAGATAAACAAGAGGTCCGTGGTTTGTTGTGACACTGGGGATCGAAACACAGTGTCTTTCTGCTGATCGATAATGAAGCAGGTCAGGGAAAGCAGATTGCAGAAACATGAGAGCTTGCTCCAACTGTCCATTCGAGATGCCCTTTCTGCACTCTGCAGACTGCAAGCAGCCAAGCACCCTTTTCAAGCTACACTCTTTATGACGTGCAGTGTAGTAGTAGTAGTAGATCGGTCGTCGCCGGCCTCCCTTGGGCATGTTCATGATCACCTTTCGGTTTTGCAGAAACTGCCCATGCTGTAAGCAACAAACGATGGTAAATATGCATGCATCCTTTTGTCTCTCTACATACTACTGTATATCTCTTTTGCTTCTCTAATTGATATACATTAGGCCGAAGGTCTCCAAGAGAACTGTGTCTCTAGCATTTCTTTATGCGCACTGTTAGCTATATATATGCAAAGAAAAACAAGGGAAAAGTATCGAGAAATTGTGATGTAGGGCTAAATGCCTAAATCTCATGAGAGTGGGAAATTTTAATTCATTCTACATGTATGAAATAAATATTAAGTTGTCAACTGTCGTCGACCTATCTTCGATCAGCTTAAGAATCTAGTCAGGAATACTCTTTGACTCTCAGCAGCCTATAGTGCTAGCTACAAAAAAATGATGCACCGTGAAGATGATATATAAGGATTAAGGAGAGAAGGTGCAAAAGAGTCACTCTTGCTAGACGAAGCTTTACAAAGAATCATGCTAAATATACAATGTCTTCGCCTTTTCGAGAGGAATGCTACATACCATGTAAATCATCTTATTTCACAGACAGACCGGATGAAATGATGAAGAATAACATTAGCACAGATAGAAGCGAAGGATGGGTCATGGGTAGTACACAGAAAGCATTAGAATGGGTAAGTATATATTATTAACAGAAACGCACGTGCAGGAGAAATGAGTGCTTTGAGATTCCACAAACTCTAGCATGAAGTTGTTAAGAACAACCCCACAAACACACCCAAAAAAAAATCACGAGAAGATGTGATTCAGGGTATACGTAATTGGCAAAGGATTAAGAATAATGAGGATATGGGCAAAGCGAGGACGTGATATTGGCACGGCTCAATCAAAGAGTGGAGCCCCTGGGCTTTGGAGCGCAAGCTTTCTGGTTGAACCGCGTCAATATCCCGTAGGTTTACTAGAGAATCGATGCAATGGATCGGTAAAGCACAGCTATCATTCTTACCGCGTACGTACGTCGTCGGAGCAGATACGGCAGCACAGCCGAATTGAAGGAGCGAGGAAGAAACCGCATCAATAGCAAGTCATCATTGCGAAAGAGAATCGAAGAACACTAATAAGACGACTAATTAACTTGCTCAATGACGACAGCTGAGCAACAACAGTAGTACGTGAAGGCACTCCTTTTGTTTCATGCGGAGGAAGGTGAAAGAAGAGCGAGAGCAGGACGAGGGGAAGGCACGGGCTTCTTTAATAGGCCTTGTTGGAGGCGATGCAAAGGAGAGCGAGTGTGGGAGGGGGGCCGGAGCTGAGGCAGGTCTCCATAAAAGTTTCAGTAGAGTTTAACACCCATTAAATAAACAACCAACTTAGCAAAAAATATGCTGACATGATATCATATAAATGAAGAGAGGGATAATCAAAGTTTCACGAGGTGAAATGACTTTTAGGAGGAGGGTGAACAAGTCTACACTGTTTTTAACATATATGAGTATTGGGAACCGGGACATGAAACTTTCATTGAGATTGGCCTTACAATGGAACTTGTGTATTTAAGTGTGAGTCTTCGACTCAGCGTAAATATTAACATGTGTAAGTGGTAGTTTGGTGGTTGTATGTTTTGAAGGATGTGATTAACATCAAGATGGTTTTTCGTTAAGAAGAAAATATATCTAAACTCGAATTTAGGAGGACTCAAGACCTGGTTGAATGCATGCATTATATACCACACCTCCCATCCAACTTAGAGCAAGGCTAATAATATAGTCGCCTGCTTGCCGTAAGAATTTTTACAACCCATCTTTCAGCCGATCCATATAGCAGTAAGCTCTTTACTAGTAATACATGGCCCACTTGCCTCTCTCATAAAGTTTGTTGGTTCTTTTGCCTAAGCCGTCTGTAAGCTTATAACCCACTTCTGCCCTCTCTCCTTCACTTCAGCATTTAGCCAGCTTACAGCCTGTTATTATACTTGCTCTTAGATAAGATAGCTAGAGGCTACCTCCTTGTCCCATGTTTTCAAAACAAAATAAACTAAGGCCCTATTTGGATCTTATTCCTATAGTGAGATTTTGAATTCTAGCTAGACAACGAACGATATAATCTGGATTATGGATTCTAGATAGTGAGGGTTTGTTTGGAACGCGGGAATTATATTTCCTATTTCACAGGAAAAATATAGGAACAAGGAAATTTTCCCTCATTCCAAAGAGACCCTGAACGTAGCCCTGTTCGCTTGAACTTATCAGCCAAATCAGCCAGCCAGCTAGCAGTGTTTTTCTCTCACAAAAAACCAGCCAGATTTCAGCCAAGCGAACAGGCTGGTAGAATCTGGAGTCGATTTGGATAAAACAATGAGTAGTGTTTGGACCTCATTTCCATAGTGATTATTGTGTTTGTACAGTGAAAATCTCTATATAGTAGGTTTTGGCACATAGTTGGATTCTATAATCTCATTCTAGAGTTCAAATATTTAGATCTCATTCTCATTTGTCTTAGGAGATCCAAACATGGTCTAAGAGTGACGGGGAGATGGCCAAGGAGAGCATGCAAAGCACGGTTGTACCTGTGACTGACGTTCATGGCTGGGTACATATAGATGGATGGTGGAGGGACGTACATGGACGGACAGCAACGCCAAATTGAAGCAGCCACAGTGCGGACTAGGGCGTCCTCAATGGTTAGCTATTTGGCTAATTAGATCTGACGTGGCAAGAAAAAAAGTAGAAGAAAGAGTAGAGCGACGAGCAAATAGCTAATCTATTTCACGTAGTCTGAGAACATATAAGAGGAGCATGTGGGTCCAATAACACATAGAAAAATAAGAATATATAAAATAATCTTTACATTTGTCTCTTACCTCCACATCAGCTAGCTACGTAGCTAGCACCACCCTTACATATAACAGGAGCAGGCCTGAGCTAGCCGGCCTAGGTGCAGGTGCGTGGTAGCGGCGATCGACGAGCGAGCTACGAGCGCGAGGCCGCGATCGAGTGAATGCGCCAACAACCCAACAAAGAGGAGGTTGGAGAATTGAAGTGGCACATTGAATTGAACAGACGACGCGCGCGGGGCCGATCAGGGCGAGTCTCGTCACACACCCAGACACCCCACACCCTCGATCGCAACGAGATGCCTCGAGCGAGAGAGAGATGGAGATGGAGATGGACTGGTGCATGGCATTCAAGATGGATTCCCATAGGCGGCAGCGGCAGCGGCAGCGGCAGGAGGCACTGCTGCTTGGGGAGGAGCCGCGGTGAATGCGCTGCAGCAGCAACTTGCCATCACGCACGTCCGCCCTACTACGTACAGACTGCAGGCATGGCAATGGCATGGGATGTTTGCCTCTGCCTTGGCCGTCGCGTCGCGTCGTGTCCTCTCTCTCTGCCTGCCTCTACGTACCTTGTGCCGTTGTGCGCCATGCATGCTGGTCATCGGTCGGCACATGTGGATGCGGCGACGGACAAAAACGTGTGCAGTGCATGCCTTGACGGAAACTACCGACTGCCGTGTGCGTGTGTGATGACACCGGCACCGGCAGCGGCGTCACACCGGCCGCCGGTGCCGCGACGCCGGCCGTTGCAGTAAACCATGCTTCCAGGCAACCAGCCGTCCAGCCGGTTTTAATTTGGCCGGGACGTTGCTGACGACGTACAGTGGCTCGATCGCCGGCTGCTGCGGTAACCGGTAAGCCATCTCACTGTCGCTGTGTCGCAGTGGCCTCCGCCCTCCGCATGCCGCTTTGGTCGATTCGACTTCGACGTGTACGTAGCTGCAGCGCGGAGTGCCGACTCGATCCAGGCCGTGCATGCTGTGCCCAGGTGCCGGAGGCAGGCCGGACCGCAGGAATAATTACATAGACTACTCCCTTCGTAGCTAGAAACAACTTTGACTAAATATATATTAAAAAATATTAATATTTATGATACACAATTAGTATCATTGATAGATATTTAAATCTAATTATTTTAATAAATTTATTTGAAGATAAAAATATTGCACATATTTTTTATAAATCGAGCTAAAGTTATCGGCACGTAAATCGTAGCGACGAATATTTAGTGAGAGAGGGAGTATATATGGATCCTATACTGTATGCCTTTTGATTGAGAGCTTAGCTAGATAGCGTCACGCAACATGGTCACGGACGAGGCGTACATGCCGTGAGTGAGAGAAAAAAATATACATGTTGTTGCTTGTGCTTGGACGACCACCGGCATGTGCTTCCATTCCGTTGCGTGATTATTGCGTCTCCTAGTATACTTCTACCAGTATATATATTCCATGAACAAACGATTTGCGTGCTAGTAGTAGCCGCACGCACTGACGCACATCGCATGTGGAGCCGTTCGTAGCTGACATTCTGACAACACATGGCAAAGTCAGGGGACGGAGATGATACCCGTACAATTACTGCGTGCGTACAGTACGACGCATGGACCATGCATGCATGCACGGCAGCACGGATGCACCCCGTGCAACCGTGCACAACGGCGACGACACGAGAGAAAGCAGCAGGTACGCTACCTGTAGCTGCTAGCTAGAGATTGGTCTCTCCCTGCGTGCATGCATGCATCTCTAGCTTAGGAATCAGAGGAGAGGAGGATGGATCCGTCACTGCTCACTGCGTACCGCCGATCGATGATGCACGGACGATGATGTCGATCTGTTTGCTCCTAATTGGAGTACTTCTTAATTGCAAGTCTTAACTAACTGAACAAGAGGCTGTGGGTGAGTAAGTACATGGCAGTACCCTCGGCTATAAGACGTTTTACCTTTTCTAATTTTTGCTATGCATTTAGATATTATCATGTCTAGATATAATAGTAATAAAATCAATGTATCTAGAAAAACTTAAACGTCTTATCATTTAATTTGAAACCCAAGGAATACATAACTTTTGCTATATATATATAATTAGACATACACTATTTTCCTCTTTTATTTTTTTTCTCTCCAACTCAACATAGCCTACTTACTCCTACATCATATCATATTGCTCCCATAATACTTGCTCCTACTGGCACTCTCCGGGCTACTGCCTACTGGCGGGCAACAGTGTGTCACCCACGTCTGTACAGGCATACATCGATGAGAGAATGCATAGACGTTGGATTGTCCTTTTCTCGGCCAGCAAAAGGGACCATCCAAGCGATCTGGTCTCGGTCCATCCACTCTAGCTTACCAAGCCTTAGGACGATCAAATACCTACTTCTGTGCCTAGGTGTCAATTAGCTATGAACTGTTGCTGCAATTTCAGGCCCTTGTTTAGTTAGAAAAGTCTCGAATCTTGTAGTGCGTGTATGGAGCATTAAAGGAAATAAAAACTAATTCATCAGCAGGTGTCATGATTGAACATTAATTACTAAATACGGGACACGACTAGGTCCGAGAGGTTCAAACTTCCCATCTGATGACACGAAGGTTGATGAGAAATGGGTTTCAAATGTGTACGCCTTCACTCACTAACCCAATGGCAAACCTGGCAATCCTTAGCAATGAGCCATCAAAACATGCGGCCAAAATCAAAATTCCAGAAGAGCAGAACCCATGCCGTACCAACAGCCTAAATGCTAATAGCAGCAACAGACCGGCCCCAACGTCCACAGCCACAGCAGAGGCAATGGCGACGTTCTGTGTGTGATTAGTTGCTCGGCTTGCTAGTGCCTAGCTAGGAGAACTAAGCCTGGTGTATGCAATGCAAGAGGCTGGTGTTTGGTTTCACGGTACTAGCTAAGCCTGCATTGTCTAGGTCTTGTTTGGTTGCCTGGCTAAATTGAATGCAATCATCTTGTACATGTGTGGGTGAGTTTTAGCTGCATCACGTCACCTCTTCAGCACCTACGAAGTTCTTTCTTCTCAAGGACATTCCGTCGAACAGCTAGCCCACGCCACCACCGGCGAGCAGGAAGAAGAGCAGCAGCAACGCCACCACCACGCCATCACGGGAGAGAGAGAGAGAGAGAGAGAGAGGAGCTCTGGCGAGTGGCGGCATAGGAGGAGATGACCACGGCGATCAGGCTGGTGGTGCGCTCGTCAGCGAAAGCGGATCAGCTGGGTGCATCGGGGTAAGGCCGACGAGTCGCCGACGCTCGGTGGAGCTTGACGATGTAGCCACAGATCGTCGAGGAGGAGCAGCGGGGCAAGCTCGTGGCGACATTGCGATCCCGTAGAGGGAGACATCGAGGCCGGAGGTGGCTCAGGTAGGGAGATCGACGACCTCGACCTTGAGTCGTCCATCGGTCCATGGCGACGGTAGTGGTCATTTGGGGCCTGAGGAAGGTCACGTTAGGGCACTCGCGGCGTCCCTGGCCGGCGTCGACGTCCTCGATAGCACGCACGCAGGGCCTGGGGAAGGTCGCGCAGGGGCGACGACGCTCGCATGGTGGCCGAGGGTGGCGCGCGCAGAGTCCGACGGAGACACAGAGCTTGACCGGCGACGGGGAAGGCGGAGCTCGCGCGGAGGTGAGCAAACCATTGTCTGTGGGTCAGCGTCGCTAGCATAAGCCAGACTTGCTGGGAATGGTGGGATGGAGCGTTCCCGGCAAGCTAGGCCAGCTTCCCTCTTTTGCATTAGTTAGGCCAAATTGGATTAAGTCTTTTGCATTAGTTAGGCCAGACTTAGGGCTTTAGACAGGCAACCGAACACAAGGAAACTGGATTAAGGAAGCATAGGCCCTTAGCCAAGCAACCAAACACACTCTGTTAACGCACCCAGGATTCCCAGCAATTCATCCTAACACCCACGCCCACCACCATCTCTTACACCCACGACCACTCGCAAGGAACCCAGGATTCCCAGCATTCATCCTGACACCCACGCCCACCACCATCTCTTACACCCATGACCACCACCATCCAGGCTCTGCAGCCATCAGCAACAGAGCCAGAGCCTAAACGCAGTAATGGCACCGGCGACACAAGGCCCTCCCTCGTGCCTGCCGGTGAGCTTTTCCATCAGCTGCTGCTGTCGGTAGCAGCCAGCAGCCAAGCAATAAAACGGCAACAGCAATCGGATTCAATGGCATACTGCGACCCAGATTGACCTTGTTACAGCCTTACAAGGACCAGTAACCGTAAACTGACATAGGAGATGTCACATACCGACCCAAGATTCAGGTCCAGTCAATTACTTGGTTTAAAGGATGTCCATTACATCGACGACAATCTGATAGGTAGGTTTTAGAGCAACGAGGAAACCAGAATATACACAGTTGCTTGGCAAGTCTTATTTACAGGAGGCATGCGCAGGGCATTAGTAGGGAAGCAAGGGCAAGGCGACCCAATTGCGGTGAGCTGTGGTGTGGCGCCATCCATCTAGAGCAGCCCGAAGGTGTTCTCACCACTGTAAGTCATGTAGAGGAACCCATCCTCGTCCTTGTTCTCTTCATAGATTGAAGACATCAGAGCAGCTGCACAAGGACAAGGAAGTAAGTAAAATCAAGTGAGAATGCAAGTAAAATCAAGTGAGAATGGGGATCATGTCCCCAAATGCTCAACGAATGTCATGAGTTCTTATAGGAAGCAAAATCAGAGTGAGAAGTATGTTGTTTCTGTATTTATTTTCCAGACCTGTTGGTGGAAGGGTGTTCTTCACAAAGATGAAGATAGCCTTCTCAGCACTGAGCTTGATTCTCTTCCTAACAACATACACGAACTGTCCAACTGTAAGATCAGCAGGGACGAGGTACCTGCAATGTGATGGCCATCAGAAAATCAGTACAGCTTATTGCTTACTATGGCTGACACGGCACATAACGCTTTGATGTGTGCAATAGTGCTTTAATGCTACATTTCTTTTCATACAAGAATGGTATTATGGTAATGGACCCCCTTTAATCCAAAAAATGAAACTAAAATCACCAGCCTTTCTGGACCACAAAAACATGGAGACCATAGTAAGTAGGAGTATTATAAATTCAACAGGCCTGTTTATTAGGGGTAGTGTCAATTTGTTCCAATTATCAAACAATTTCCATTACACCATACATCGTGATATAGTAATTGGGACAACTGAATTAATATATGTGCATACATGACCACAATGCAATACTGTTGCACATTTGTATTAGAGCAGACCAATATAATGCGAAATGGATGGCACCAACTACCATCAATTATCAGGAAAACAGTAGAGATCTCACTAGCATTAACTCATAACAATTAAAGATTTGAGCATAGTTGTATGGCAGTTATGGTTAACTTAGAAAAGTTGAGAACTGACTTTTTCTTGTCGATGTCAGGAATATCACTCCTCTCAGCCTTCTCAACAATCACCTGCATTACACATTGTCATAAATTGGATCAAAGCGATCATGAACAAAGAAGCAGCATACAGGAGGGTAGTAGCTTACTGGAATTCTGTCAGGGTACTTCTCCCTGATCCGGTTAGCCTCAGACTGCCTCTTCTCTGTAACACAAGGCATGACAGTTTAAGTGTTCAATTATGTAACCTGAATAAAAAGCTAAATTGCCTTGCAGGGAAATGATGGAACAAGGCCATAGCTGACTAAGAACATGTTGGAAATCATAGCTGGGACATAGAATTGTCTTTGTGCAAAGAGAACTCTAACTAACAGAGTCATCAAATGTTGTCAAGCACAAATTTTATCTTAACTCCTTATATAAGGAAAAGAAGAAAAACCACTATTATCCAGGTCAAGTAGGGCACACATGTCAATCAATTGACGGTTACCAGCTCAACCAACTCATGTAAATTCAACAATAAAAGATAGTAGTAAAAAACGTAAAAGTTCAACTAGGAAACAGTAACAACTTAGGACAAAAGAACAAAATCAGATCGCCCTGTAACTTATCAAGGGCATGACCACATTGTTAACCATCAGCAAGCTTTCCACACCAAATACAGTTATAAAAGCAAAACTGCAGCTTCCTGTTAAAGAGCATTTTACAGTTACCCAAAGTCTTGACAAGGTACAACATTCTTCTGAGTCAAATGTATTATGTGATTCATAGAAATTAGTAATTAGTAATAAATAAATTAAATCTCAAACATATGATCCTCCAGATAAGGAACCACTTCAGAAATCGCACATGACAAACCCAATGATCAGTTTGGATTTTCAAATTGACAAGCCACTTGTATCATGTACAACTACTGAATATCACCATCTAACATAAACTTGAATGGCAGAACACTAAGTCAAAGCACATAATTGCACTCACGTACTACTACCCAATCAACACCAGCACCATGATCCCATAATAATCACAACCTGCTCACCATAATCTCACGATAATCACAACCTGCTCAAAATTTTTGGCACAATATATGTATATTTTAACCTGCAGTTGCTAGGTTTTGAAGAGAGGGGAGCTTGCCCACAAGTCAAAGCAAATCACAATTGCTCACAAGTCTATTGAACTAGATGGATAACTGCTCCGTTCCTCAGAGTACTACCAATCCGCAAAATTACCCTCCTCGATTTGTACTGTAGTCAACCGTCCAAACCCCAACAAGCAAGCATCAGATATCAACGGTTTTCTACAGAATCAGAAAACCTAAAGGGGGCATGGGGGACATTATACGAACCGAGGGGGTGCTCCAGCTTGAACGAGCTTGTCTTGGCCATCACGCTCCTTCCTGCCTACAGGCACCAACCAATCCCTCAATCAAATCACCGAGAAAACCGCACATCAATCGAGCCGATCGAGCAGCAAAAACTAAGAACCAATCGAGTAAAACCTTACCGGTTGGATCGAACCGCGTTCGGGGATGCGAACGAATCGAACGAAGGCGGCGAACTACTCCGGGACCTAGAGTTCACCTAGACCAAAACCAGAAAACAGACACCAGATCGATCAGAGGAAGCCCCCCGATCAGCAGAAACCTGGGCCGATTGATGGAAGAGCTGAGGAGAAACGCACGGGACTCACCGGATTTGGCTGGATTGGGTTGGTGGGCGAGGGTTTCTTCGTCTTCCAAGCAAGCGGCGGAGAGACGGAGGTGAGGTGGGTAAAGGGTAGGGGAAAGAGTGGGGGGATCGGGGTTGCTTATGTAAAGGCCCACACGCGCACGAAACGTAACGCCCAGGAAACTTGATCGGAGAAAACACAAAACAGGCACGGCTGCTTTCGCGTGAGAAAACCCAAGTCATGATGATCCAATAATGCAAGGCAGCGTATAATACTACTCGATCATAGAAGATAGGCAATGGTATCCTCGTTGATAAATTCCTTCACAAATTACGTACAAATTCATAACTGCTACAGCTATGACCGAGAATCTTCACATATTACGTACAAATTCATAACTGCCACGGCTATGACTGAGAATGGGATCCTCGTTGATGAATTTATTCACATTAGTATTTTTATCAATTTTACAATAATATATAAATATAGTCACATCATTTTTCTTTGTAGAAAAACTTCTCCGAGCATATTGTGGTGATTCTTTTGAGTACCACGTACATTTAGAAATCCCCGTCAATTCGTTAATGATATCCTTTTGAGCACAATTAATATATTCCAAAATAACTCGGATTCTAACATCTTTGCCCCGGTCTAATCTCTCAGCTGTCAGCTCGCGCTTTAGCTTTGTTCCAAGTTAAAATTCTCTATTGTTGATAAAGTTTATACAAAAATTTTATCAACATCTACAGCACCAAATTAATTTCATTGTTTTTTCATCACATATGCCTTAATTGTGCATATATTTGTACTTGTATGTAATGTATTTTTATCAAATATTGTTCAAACTTAGAGAAGTTTGATTTTGGAAAACTTTGAAGCGAACCATAATTTGGAACGATAGGAGTAGAGTTTAACCAAAGCAGATTTGTACCAAACTTCAGTCAAGTTTTGAGCAAGACTTTTTCTGTTTCTATAGATTTACACACGATGGCATGTGAAATGATTATATATCTATATACATCCTACTATAAAAGAGTGAGTTTTTTTAGAAGGCTCTTCCTCTATAATAACCGTTCGATCTAGAAGTCGTGCTATATGAGTCCTCCGTCATCCGTGATCCTACATATAAGATGTAAGACTCCTAGCGTGATATGAAAAGAAAAGATTCGGATTAGTTCATGAGTCTTCGATTTGGGACTCTGGAAAAAAAACATGCCGAAAAAAAAGAAAGAAGGAAGGATACAAACAGAAACAAAACTAAATTCCTATTGAGAAAAAAATCCTAACAAAATAGAATTCACCTTATCTACGGTTGACACTCCATTTTCTATTTGGCCAATCAGGCTCACATGCAAACATGAGATGCACCATAATTGCTTTTCTCCTTTGGTACGTACATACATGCAACTCATCCAGTATGTCAGATGCGTAGGATTTCCAAACTCAAGTCCCGAATTTTTCATATTTTAGTCCCTTTTTCAAAAATTTCTCACAAATATGCCCCTGACGATATCCTTTCAAAATCTAGACCCTTAGCTTGGCGCCAGCGTCGGTGGCGCCAAGGTAACACGCCACGACGCCACCAGCTTTGGCGTCAAGCCCCTTGTACATGTGGACAAGCGTTGGCTGGCCTGGCAGCAAGCTTGTCACCATAGATCTTGGCGCCAAGCATGGCGCCGAGAACAGTGGCGCCAAGCCCTGCCTTACGAATCGGCCCTCCCTTCCTTTCTCTCTTCCTCTCTCTCCCTCCCGCTCGCTCCTCTTCCTCTGCCCCGCGCGCCAGGCGCCGCCGCAGCGCCGCGCCGGCCGCCGCACCTCTGCGCCCTCGCCCGCGTCCCGCACCGCCGCGCAGAGGCCCGGCCCCGCCTAGCCTGCGCCCGTGCCGACCCTCGCCGTGACGGCCGGCCACGGCCCCGGCCCGCGCCCGATCCCACGGCCGCCCGGTGCTCCTGCACCGCCCCCCGCCCGTGCTTATTGCTCCCACTACTTCAACGGCTCCAGTGACAGAGGCCGTGGCAGTGACTACTACAGCTACAGCTTCAGCATTACAGTCGGCCGACCTAGTCACAGAGCTTGTTCAGCAGACCCGGACTACTTCACCACCACCTACTCAGCTAGAGGGTCAGGCAGATCAGAGTTCTTCGGACTCCGAGGCGCTAGCAGCTCAGTTTGAGATTTCACTGCGTCCCTCCGCACCCGACTCGTCTGTTCTCGCCCTGCCAGTTGACCCTTAGGTTTTGGTGCTTGACGCCAAAGGGGGAGAGAGAGCGAGTATGTTAGATTTAGGGGGAGCATGTGAGAGGGATTTGTTTCTTTTGTGTGTGATACTTTCATAGCATCATATTTACTCTCATGCATTTGTGCTATACATATGTGTTGAACTCTTGTGACATGTGATCTCGTTTCTCACTTATATATATCATGTCACTTGCTCTTGCTCATATGCTTTGCTTCTGCATTTTACTCCGATTCACATGAGCTTTATATTGTACTTGAGCTTATTTCATATCTCTTAAGTACATGTTGTGGACTTGGTATGCATGAACTTGCTCTAACCCTTTTGTTCTTATTGTCACAAGTTAATGCAAACCAAGTTTGTTGAAAACCTCACTCCTCTCTTACACATACTCGAGGTTGTTGTCATCAATCGCCAAAAAGGGGGAGATTGAAGGCATCTAGGCCCCTAGTGGTTTTGGTGATTAATGACAACGGAAGATTACTGTGACTAACGTGTGTTTTGCAGAAACAAGTTTGAGTTAGGTCACAATAACGGCGATTGTTTGTGCTATAATGGTTTACACGCCCCTTGATGGAATTCATTTCGGTTTTCAAAGGATGGACTATAAGGTTAAGGATGAACTAGTTCTAAGTGCCGTTTGGTGTTGAGAGGCACTTAGAGTAGTTTAGGACTTTGTTTTTTTCCTTTGATCGTACTATTAAGGGGGGTACAAACTAGTAGCTTGACCTAGGTGAGTCTAGTGGTTTAGGTGTGGTGCACACTTGTCAAACTTAGCACTAGGTAGATCAGAGATAGTCCGGGGATCAAATGGAACAAACTTCGTTTTGGAAAGTTCGTGATTCGACGAAGTTTTAGGCCATTTAGATCGACCGGACACCTTTGGTTGTCCGGTCAGTTCAAGTCCACTGATGAAAGCGATTGACTTTGAGAGAGTTGACCGGACGCGCATTAGTGCAATCTGTTCGCGCGTCCGGTCGTCTGAGAAGCGACATCGATCGTGTGACTGACGGACGCATGCGTCCGTGCGTCGATGTAACGATCTAGAGAGGTTCCAGAGAGGGTTTTCCACGATCGGACGTGTCCGGTGCATACCGATCGGACGCGCGATGCGTCCGGTCATTATTGAAACTTTGTTTCGTACAGTAGCCGTTGGACGACCGGACGATGCACCGGACGCGTCTGGTGCAACATTAACGTGCGTCCGGTCAGTGCGCAGTGAGCTGCTTTTGTTCCTAACGGCTAGTGACTTGTGTGGGGAGTATTTATACTTCTCCAACTCATCCAACTCAGTACTCTTTCTCATTTGTTCAGCTTAGAAACACCTTGAGAGTGCAAGGAAGTGCAAGAGCATAGTGAGGTGATTTGAGATTTGAGAATCCAAAGATTAAGCCCTCATTAGTGAAAAAGAATAGCAAGTGTGCATCCATCTTACTCATTAGGCTTTTCATGGTTAAGTGAGAGTTAGTGCTTGTTACTCTTGGTCATCGCCATCGCCTAGATGGTTTGGTGGTGATTGGGAGCTTGGTGATCATCGGACGGAGCTTGTGGATGACCCAACTCAAGTTATGAACGGTTGTGGGCGATTCACCGCGACAGAGCGTTAAAGAATCAGCCCGTAGAGAGCACTTGGTCCTTGCGCGGATCAAGGGGGAGCTATATCCTTACGCGGGTGCTCCAACGAGGACTAGTGGGGAGTGGCGACTCTCCGATACCTCGGTAAAACATCGCCGTGTCCCTTTCCCTCTCCTTACTTTGAGCATTTACTTTTGTGCAATTCATATTTGTCTTTACATTCATAGAATTGCCATGCTAGAGTAGGATTGGAACCTAGGGTGCTAAACTTTTATCCGGTAGATCATCTAGAAACACTTCTAGGCATATAGGGGTGAAATTGGCTAAGTGTAGGGGTTAATTTCCGAAAGAATTTTAGAGAAGCCCAATTCACCCCCTCTTGGGCATCTTGATTCTTTCATAAGAAACGAAAGCAATTAACATCAAACCCTACACCTAAGGTTTCCCATTTGATCCACAACAACAATCCCATAACATAATAACGTGCGTTGATGTTACCTTGGTTTGCTAGATTTTCCACGCCTTAGCATCCTAAGGTTGTATAACATAAATTTTAAAAATGCACTAAACCCTAAGTAATGACGATTCTTAAGTTGAAAAAAGCGACTGATATATACAGAATCGATGTGAAAAAATACTAAGAGGGAGCGAGGATACCTTGGTCTCGAAGATCTACGGATCAAACCAAAGTTTTTAAGCTCTAATATGTTGATTCGTGAGGTAGGGCAAAGTGGGGAGAGAAAAAAAAACCAAGAGGGAGGAGAAAGAAGGGGAATAAGGCTTGGGCAGGAAGGTTGGGCGCAGGGCTAAAGTAGCAAGCTTGGCACCACCGTTCTCGGCTCCATGCTTGGCGCCAAGATCTATGGCGCCAAGCTTGCGCTAAGATCTATGGCGCCAAGCTTGCTGCCAAGTCAGCCAACGCTTGTTCACGTGTACAAGGGGCTTGACGCCAAAGCTGCTGGCGCCGTGGCGTGTTACCTTGACGCCACTGACAATGGCGCCAAGCTAAGGGTCTAGATTTTAAAAGGATACCGCCGTCAGGCATATTTATGAGAAACTTTTTAAAAAGGCTAAAATATGAAAAATTCAGACTCAAGTCACACGTGAACTCCCCACGCCAAAGCTTCTGTGAAATGAACATATTACAGATACATCCTTCTCTATTTGCATTAGAATTCCTTTTAATTTGGAATCGATGAGAGATATAACAGTTATTATACAGAGAGAGCCACCTTAAAAAAAACTCTCCCTCTTTCATAACCGTTCGATCTATACGTCATGCTGTATGAACTCTCTGTCATGCGTGATCTTACTCTTTATTTATAACAACCGTTCGATCTACACATCGTGCTATACGAGTCGTTCATCATCCGTGATCTTACACGTAAGATGTAAACCAAGATTCAATCTGATGTGCGTTATAATCCCACCCACGTACGTCTACAATCCTACCCGTTTTGGCTTTACATGAAAAAAGAGGAAGACCAAACCGGACGAAACACGAACGTGAAGAAAAGAAATTGTTGATCCCTGATTTTGGTATGTAAAAAAACTGTCCTTCAAAATAGAACCACGTCCTCCCTGCTGGACTGTACCACGTCCACCCAGCTGGACTCTGGACTCTGGACCCAAACAGGACTATAAACGTAATTAAGAAAATATTTAATTAATTAGCCTGGCTACTCTTAGATCCGTGCGGTTTTTAGTAAGTAAAGTACGACTTCTATTTTTGACATACACCATCTTTTTTTCAACTCCTGAGTCCTGAAGGCACGTCAATACAAATGCAACAAAAAAAAAGAAGAAAAAATTAACACGTGAGGAAGATGCCGACTACCGAGACTCTTCCAATGGTGCTCCAGATTTAGGAAAAATAGATTGACCTTCCCTACATTCGGTTTTTATTGTATATGACAATTCAATTAACAATTTTTCACTGCATTTGAAATAGTTTTTAGCACGACCAAAACAATATTACAACATTTGGATTAGTTACATCCATCATTCACATTTACAGCAATTGGAAACGGGTTTGCAAAAAAAAAACAGAGCTAAAACACACTCACAGCTTAGAAGATAAACCTAGCCTAGTTAACTCGAGCCATTTGTCACACCCTCCCAATTCCCAAAGACGAGCTTTTGGACAACGGGGCCTCACCTTCGGTGGCAAAGGACCATCAGTTTGCTACATTCAATGTACAATACTCGTTTCCACTTGTTCTTCTTGAAGATCATCACATGAGTCTCATTGGTCTTATTGCTAGCTTCTTCAGCTCCGCGGGTCTCGAGGTGAACTCCTGAACATGGCTTCGTGGACATAGGATCACCCGACTTTGGATCAAAATACAGTTATAAAAAACTTTGGATCAAAATAGCAACCTTTAGCAAGAGAGATTTCATATCCCTCCACGAGGCCCACACGAGTAGCATGTTGTGTTCCCGATGAAGCTGGACAGGACCGTGGCCGTGACGAGGCCCAAGGTTTCAAGTCAGCAGAAGGACTACGAGGAGGTTGTGCTGGTCGTCGACGAGACATAGATCGCAGATCATCTGAGGTACGTGACGTTTGACGCGGCGAGGTTTGGCATCACCGATTTGCTGGACAAGATCAGAGCTGGCAGGGGACAGGAGATCGCGGTGTCACTAGCTTCCCGAGGTGCGCTGGCGACGTGGTCACCGTGGCCGGCATCAGTGTCACCTATATGTTTGGTGCTCTGCACCCAGCTTGGCCTGGCTGACGGTGTGCAGGAACCAGACGTTTGGTTTCCTGCATGGATGCTAGGGCCTGGCCGGCCAAATGCATTTCGCCCTGTCGAGCCAGGCTCCTGTTTCTCTCGAGCCTGGCTTGTGCGGGTGCAACATCAACCTAACGAACGAGCAACCAAACTAACGATGCTCCCGTCCTGTATGTATTTATCCCATCAATCAAACATCAGGACCTTGCATGCAGCAAGCCTGTCTCAACTTGGCCTGGCCGCTACAAGACGAGACAGGCTCTTCGCATCATGGAACCATTACGCCCTAAGTGAAAGTAGTGCCACACGTAGGTGTAGAGACTTTCCTTCTTCCTGATGTGCCTCTCTTTCTTCCTTGTGCTTCTGCGCGCCTTGGTGGCCCCCCGCTCCCTAACGGCCGCCCTCCCTGGCGCAATATGTTCCAAATTCCCACATACTCTGTTCATCTCTTTTTAATCGTCATTCTCATTTTACAAGATGTCAAACGAAATATAAAAAAACATAGTTAGTATCATTATATAGGTCTTTGAATCTACTTTTATAATAAATTCATTTGAAGATATAGATATTGCTAGTATTTTTTAATAAATTTAATTAAACTTAAAAAAATTGACCAGCATGACTTAAAAATGGACAGCGGGAGAGTCCCTTTCAATCTGTTCACAACCACCAACGAACTGGACATCGGATCCAGACATAAGCATGCAAGCGATTTGCTACCGTATTGTTTAGAATATACAGTTCATATTCCTCATTTCACAGTTGTATTGTAACTGGATTTTCCGGTTTATTTATAGTCAATATCCCGAGAAAAAGAACTTTCATTTTCCAAACCGTGATAACTTGCTATCCATTTGCACAAGTGAGTAATTACCAAAAACGTACTATTTAATTTCATCTTGAGAGTAAGTGTGACCAAATGTTTGTACCCATGCAACTGATCTTTCCTGGGGAGAATTTCCAGTGACCTGCAATCGAACGTTGAATAGCTTGCAGCAGCTTCTTCTATTGTCCGAGATAAGATAATAGTATTACTACACTTCTGCATCCGCACATAAGATAGATTTCCGGCCAGCACGTGCTCCTTTTTGTCCTTTTTCTTCCTCAAAATAAATATTCCACATTTCCACGTAGCAGTTGAGAGGACCGAGCAGCAAATTCCAGGCATGAACACCATGGTGGCGTGTGTGTTTTGACCACCTGTTCCTTTAATAGATTCATCACATGAAGACCTTGAGACTGACAGGGTCCCGCACTTTGCACATCATGGCTGGACAATGGGCCGGGGGTTCTTGCTTGACAGGGTCCCATTTTCGCAACCTCTATTGCGCGTCACGTCGCGCCAGTGCGCGACGATGAGGCCCGCGGCCCGCGGCAGCAATGCGGGCTGGCGGCCGGGTGATAGGCATGCATGTGGGATTTGTTTTTTTTTTTTCGCAAAAGAGGCCGTGCGATCCCACCAGGCCACGAGCTCCTCTGGGCGGGACGTACATGTGGCCCCATGCGTCAGTGATAGGACACGTCCAGCAGCTGCCCCGACGTGTCAGCCTTCTTCCCTCCTCCCGTGCAACTGCGAGGTGCCAAGTTTTGACCTTTTCCCGTCGGCAGCGCCGATGGCGTTGTTACGTTTGAGTTTTTGTTTTTGAGAATAATCAGTTTTTGTTTTTGATTGTGTCTAATTTAGTTTTCAGTTTCTATTTGTCATTTTCAATTTAATTTTATAGTTATCAATTTCAGTTTTATTTTCTGTTTAAGTTATTTTTTTATTGTGTCTACTTTAGCTTTTAGTTTCTATTTGTCATTTTTAGTTTTATTTTCTGGTTGTCAATTCCAGTTTCAATTATTCGTTTTTCATTTTGTCTACTTTAGTTTCTAGTTTTTATTTGTTGATTTTAGTTAAATTTTCTGGTTGTCAATTTCAGTTTCAATTTGCGGTAGTTATTTATTTGTTGATTTTAGTTTTTATTTCCTTCTAGGTTCGAATGTCTTCCTAAATTCTGTATATTAATTGTTCTTCCATATTTTCTGCTTTTAAATATTTTTTGTTTTAATATTTATTTTATTTTTAGTTTAATGAGTTATGAGTTCCATTATTTTTATTTTTTCTTCGAGGTTTGAATGCCTTCCTAAACTCTACATATTAGTTGTGTAATACTTATCCCCCTTAAGTTGGTAGCTTATGTAATGTTTCTTCTAATAATTTACCTCTTATGGGTGCATCTTGTCTTATTTTGGGCTGCTATTCTTGTCCTTTTAATAAATGTCCCTCTAATTGTCAGCTAGTCAGATTCTCGGCTCATATAGTGGGTTATATAATAACTTGCGCCTCTAGTTGGTAGCTCATGCAATGCTTATTCTAATAATTTTCCTCAGGTTGCAATTTGTCTTGTTTTGTGCTGCTACCTCTCGTTTTTAATAAATGCCCCTAGTTGGCAGGAAGTCATGTTTTTGACTTTTGTAATACGTTGTATAATAACTTGCCTTCCTAGTTGGCAGCTTACACAATACTTTAATAATTTGCCCCTTCTAATTTGTGTTGTTTTGGGCCGCTATTCTCTTTGGTGGTTACTATCTTTATGTAAATACTATATGACAATTTTATTATATTCTCATAATAACAACCGATGTTCATACTATATAAAAATTTTAGTATATTATGGAGTAGCAACTTTAGTATTACATAGTAGTAACTCATTTGATAAATCTCTTGGCATATATTTATGCATAAATTGCTACTAGATTGAATTTCTTTGAAACATATGCAAGTGAGATCTAGTTTTGTTCGTCTCGTCACATAAAATGTACCGGTGCTGACGGAATTGAAAACAAATATCTCCTACAACTAAAAAAAAAATAAAGAGTTGACATTTTTTTATGGGACGTTCCAACGTTAGTCCATGTTCTGCTTGCTGCGATCCTCTGATTTTCTTTCTAAAACAAACCACCCCGTCAACATCAAACCTCGGAAGAAAACAAACCACGCCCCAATTGACACCGTCACGGACGCTGCCGCCGCACACGCCCCCCCCGGCTCCCGCGTCGCCACCGCCCGGCGCCCGCGCCAACGCCCCAGCCCCAGCCCCAGCCCCAAGCCCTAGCCCCTATTTAGGAGCGGGTCCGTGTCCTCGATGCGCGACCAGCCGTCGGACGCCCTCTGCACGACGACCCTGTTGAGCCGGCACAGGCTCACCGCGGTGAAGTCGAGCGGCGTGGGGTTCGGCGAGAAAACGATCTTGGGTGCCGGCTCGTGTGCGGGCTCGTAAAGCTCCGGGTCCAGCGGGATCTCCTCGCCCGTGAATGGGTTGAACAGCAGCGGCCCCGCGGGCGCCTCGGCGTCGCCTGAGACGAGGGCGAGCCACCCGTCGCGCGAGGCACCCACGCAGCGGCAGCCCGCGGCCGCGCCGGTCGTCCCGGTCGGACTCGACCGGTGTAGCTGGTCGCCGTGCAGGAGCCTGGCCCTGCGCCGCGCGAGGTGGGAGCAGGCTACGAGCGACACAGGCTGGCCCGCGGTGTCGTCGGCGGGGAGCACGGCGAGGAGCCGTGAGAGCAGCGGCGGGAGCGCGGAGCGCCACGCGCCGCAGACAATGCGGCAGGAGGCGTACTCCCTGAGCGCGCAACATGCGGTGATGCTGGAGACGATGCCGGCGTCGAGGTCCGCCCACGGCCGGAAGGGAGCTGAGGCGGCAGGCATGTTGATGCTGCCGCTCATCGGACTTTAGCGAAGAGAAGAGTTGTTCAAGGAGACGTTGGCATCCAACAAGATACGCGCGTGCACATATGCAGGCAATACAGTACGCGTGTACGTAGAGCTGTCTGACGGGTCTCCTTGGTGCTATGGAATCAACTCGTTTGTGTACTACTAGAGCTGCCCAGCGTATGGAAGTTCATACACTTCTTCTGTATAAAACTATACCTGGCTAAACTCATATTCGTATTCGTGTGATCGTATCAGCGTGCGTACTTTATTACGTTTGTACGTATCTCTCCTGGACTTTAGAAGTTCAGAACCTGAGTGATGCTAGGTTTTATGATTCTGGCAAAAAAAAATTCTTTTTAGGTAGCATGCCAGGTACACTCGGATCGCATGAATATGTAGCGTGCCCGTGCGAGGTGAAAAGAGGATGTCTTAAAAAAATAAATAAGAGTATCATCGCTTTAACTTGCAATACACGGCCACAAATAGAAATTCAATCGTAAAAAAGATTACAGATGACATAGATGGGTAATTAATTCAGAATCACCGTCGCTTGCAATAAAAATATCTATGATTTAATTATTTATATATATATTACTGATCGTAAATCTTGCCACACACATATATATATATATATATATATATATATATATATATATATATATATATATATATATATACTTGAATACGTGTACATGATAATATTAGTATAATGCCCGTGCTAACGCAACGGTTTTATTTAGAGAATAATAATAAAAACACCCAATTTATTATTTTGTAGTTTAACCTTTACCTAGTTATTATATTATAGCCTAAGTTACATTTGGCGTAAGTCCTTTATCATTTGTTGCACATCTTCAGGGATGTTGAAACATTCGATTTTGCGAGACTAAATCAAAATGTCACCAAGAATTCCTTCCTCGATTGTAGATAATATAGCCATGCATGATATAGAATATAATATGTTAGTATTGTATGTAGTGTACGGAATATAGTTGGAGACTATATATGCTTACAGTGGTGATCCGTGGCAATCTTACGCCGTCCCACGACTTCATGAAATTATAGACAAGAAAGCCTCCTAATTTCCTGACGGAGAAGATCAGTTGTTTATTTGATGTACATAAATCAAATTATTGTTTTTTTAGAAAAGTTGAACCAAATTTTGTGACACTTACCAGTGTTTATGACCCGAAACCTTTGTTACATATTTAGGGTATTTTCGCTCCTAGTAATAAATATTTTCGCTCCACCTAGAATTTGATAGTGCCATGGCGAGATTGAACATTCTAGCGTTAGTGTGGAATGTAGGTATATATGCCATTTTTTATGATAACCCTTCAAACATGCATTATCTGGTAGCGGTTCAAGCGGATACATAATGTGTACAGTTTTGTTTTGCATGTCCAGTATGAATAAAATATATAGTCCATTCTGATAATATGATAGTAGAATCTAAAAACAAACACACAGACTGTAAGTGGTTCATAAATAAAATAAATAAATTCTTATAAAGTAGTACACTGACCATAACGTACCTGGCTAGAATCTTGAATTTTGTAGTGCATGTCTGGCCAGCACTCAAGTACCTTTTTTAATTTGTTGTGGTATACCTTATCAATGCCACCAGTACATCGTGGATCTCTTCCAAACCCAGTTATTTCCTGATGATGATTGTAATTGTCAGTATATAATTTTTTAATCACATATATTACAAGTTTTTGATGAATTATAGAATTTCAGAACTTACAGTAAATCTAAGATCCATGAAGTGGTATTTTTGTTTATGCAGCATCATTTCTTTGTTGCACGCAACCATCCGAATAGCCATAATAAAGCTTTCATGTTTCATCTCTGTATCTTCACGTAAAATATTTATAATTTTCCTAGGACTTAAAGTAATTGGATATGGTCGTGTACTTCGTACCCACTCTTTGCTGCAAAAAAAGAAGAACAAGAAACTAATTACTTAATGCACAAACAATTCTGTTCTGAACTATTCAGAAAGACGAAAAGACTTACTCTAAAGTTCCATCATCCGCGGTGCACCGAATGGTTGAGCAAATCCATGACAATAGTTCTTCCTTGCTTGTCCACTTTATTGTACTTATCAACTTGGCGCTACCCAACATTAAAATATCCATTTCATCTAGCTCTACGACATCATCAACCAGATGAACTAGGGTCTGATTCTGTTGCTCGTTATCTGGTAATACTCTTGCTTCATTTAACGGAGAGTTGTACAGGATGGCAGGTAGCTTAAACCTAAAGTTACTTATATCTTCCTGAAAACATAATGAAGTCATGATATATTAATCAATACATACAAAAAAAACTTATTACAGCTAGAAATTAATTCATAAGGAATTACCTGCATGACATGGTCAGATAAATTAGTTCCAGTCCAATACTCCATATAATTGATCATCCATAATCCACAACTACATCTGTGCATAATACAAAAAAGTGAGGTATATAGATATTGTTCGTTATGAGAGAATGGCCTATACACAAGATGGAAAGTTAACTTACACATCTTTTTGCATTTGTTCAGTGATCATATGTTTAGGTTTCCAGGATGACACTTCGATACCGTGTACCCATTTACTTGTATCGAGTTGAATCTTCTCTGCTACATGTTTTATTAGTCGTTCCATTCCTATTAACTATTAAGAGCGAGACACCAAGGTTAATTATGAACTTCTTATTTGAAGAATTTTAAAGCAGTATGCGTACATCATATATATTATGTTGTACCGTATATCGGAGATCTTGCCAGTTTGTCATCTTTTCTCCAAAAGAATCCAATACTTGTATCTCACCTTTTGAAGCACACACAACTGCCAGGTACCAGTGGCACTTTGTAATATTGATACGAAGGAAGACCTGCGGACATAGAGATTTATGTATATTATTTCTTCATATTTCGAAGGGATAAAATTTATCATATGGCAAATGTCATAGTAAAGCTTACCATATCAACTTTTAAATAAGTGTTCACCCTTGATTCAGCCACGTCATATTTATTATACGTCAATTTTTTAGATCTCGCTCTCCGTTACCTCGTAGTATTTGAGAAAACCATGAATTTTCTAAATATACATTTCCACCTTCTCTATGATGGCCTTGTTCTTCGTGCCGCATTAACTGGATATGAAGACTTATGACCCGCAAGTTTTTAATTTGTTATTAAATTATGGACATATATTTGTCATGGATATTAGTTAATGCAGAAGACGTGTTGACCATCCTTACAGAGCCATTGACATGCTCACTCCCATCAAAAAGACAATCCATGTCTTGTTGCTCTCCCCAACAATCATCGATTCTGACGAGTACATGCTTTTCACTTTTTCTTTGCATGTATTCAATTACCCCCTTGTCTTCTTTCGTAGACACATAATCTATAGAGGTTTTATTTATATAATATATATATATCAGTAATAAAAAATTAATTCACAAAATATGTACTATTAAGTCCCAATTGTTGAGGTCTCACCTTGAGGCATGATTTGTGCATTGTTTGTTTTCTTTGGTTTATTGTACTCCGGTAACACTATCACATCAGCATCAGCACGCATCAGATGTAAGTCCTTTTCTTGTGTGGAGTCTGTACATCATCACATTTGACATGTTCCTTTGTTGCATCTACCATAATGATCTACATATGCAATATGTAATATTAGTTTGAGATGCAATCTCTAGACATTTTGTATGTAATGACCCACACGGGCAATTTATGAAAGGAATATTTGAGAAGTATAAGATATAGTTATGTACGTCATCTTCCTCATGAGGTCGTTTTCGCTTCTTGGCTACGTCTCTTTCTTCATGCCCTTTTATTTCGGCATCATCATTGTGTTGAACATCTACATCAATATTGCCCCGCACTGGTATGTGTACGTCTGCAAATATTTGTGAGATAAGTACCATAGCTTACATGTAAATGCCTTTCTTTAAAAAAATTGCATGAGGTGGTTGTGCTAACTTGACTCACCCGAAGTGTGTAGTGGATTAGTAAGCACCGTACGTGGGCCTCTATGCTCGGGAACATACTTATCATTTCTACGAAGCCAGTCCATAGGTTCTATGGGCTCATGAGATATAAAAATGTCTTTCCAGTTTAGACGATAATCCATCTTCCAAATTAGGTTTTTGACATATAAAAATGTTTCGAGGTTCATGAGATATTAGGCGATGGGTGAACAGTTTTAAGTCTTGGTTCTTTCTCACCTGTGGCCGAGGATGCCGGAACTATTATTTTGTTATTGTCTTCATTTCGTATTTCTTGGCCAGAGGCTTCCATTTGTGCCTCACTCTCTATATTCATCTTACTTTCTTCTGTATCCAGATGAACAAATCATTATTAAATATAAAATTTTAACAAGTAGAGTGCAGTTACGTACCGGGATTTGGATCAGATCCTTCTGGTTCATGGGAATCCGGTTCTTTTGACATCATCGCCTGACTGTTGCCACTTGCGATTTGCTATATGAAAGGTCGCACAGATACACAAATAGATTAGATTAAATCAGGGCACCGTTTTGCACAGGCGGAAGGCGAGAGAAGGGCGATCATACCTTTCGTGGAGGACGTCCGTCGGGCTGACAACTCTTTGACCGCGGCGAGTGGCAAGGACTTGAAGTTCTCGGCGCGATGTACGACCTAGCGATGACTCGAGGTGGGGGTGGTTGCGCCTAGGGTGGGCGAGGGCTCAGCTTCCCCAGTGGCGGTGGCTAGAGCCGACGAGGACTATGGGTGGGGCTCCCTTGATTCGAAGTCGTGCGTTGATCGCGAGTGTCGGTGGTCGTGCTGATCGTTGCACACATCTTATATATCTACGCCAGGCCTGGAACAAATGCCAACGGCCCAATAGAGAAGAGCCCATCAGGCATTGAGCCTCCTCATCGCAACACCCCCCGTCCTTCGCTCTGGCGCTGCTCCACGCTGCGTGACGCAGAGCCGCTAGACGAAGTGCCGCGCGATGTTAGCGAGCAGCGATCCCATCTGCTCCT